CAAAGCCCCCCCCCCTTAAGCTTTAGAAGTACCCCTTTCCCTCCCCATACCCTTCTAGAGCGAAACTAAATCAAACAAATATTGTATGCATAATTGTGACCAACTGGAGCATTGTTTTCTATTAATTTATACTGTATGCCATTTGGGAGTTTGAAAAAAATTATCCTGCCCTCCCCCCTCCCCCCACCTCCAAAAAAATAAATTAAAAATATATATAAAAAAAGCAAAAGTCTGTATCTGACTGTGGTCAAGTCGGTTTCATGGCTTATTATCAACAATTTTCACTTCAAAGATATGAGGTGCATGTCATTCTGTGTGTGTGTGTGGGGGGGGGGGGGGGGAGGGAGTCTTTTTTCATGAAGTATTTCTATTTTTTAATCAACTATTCCTTCGCAATGTCAGAAAGACGTGGTAAATTCGAACCACAAGAATGTGTAAAGGGCATTGAATAAGTATTAACGGTATTAACGACGCTTTCTATATATTCAAACTAAAAGCAAAGACACACTCTGTAAATTCTATACTGTTTTATTATTTGATCAACGATTAGATTTTTTTTAAAATTTCAGGCTGAAAATTTTCATTGTTATCCACTTTGATACAATTGGATGTTTTATTTCAAATTGAAGTCTGTATTTATTCAACTACTTGCCTTAATTACTAGCTATATATAGATAATTTTTTTAACATCGAATTTCAAACGATACATCTTATAACTGCGAAAGTGTGTGCAAATATAGCATATTCATGAATTTCATATATCCCATATATGTAAAATCGTGTTATATATACTTCTTAAACCTACCAGTGGAATTTTCAGGAAAAATTATATGCATGCTTGAGAAAAAAGTTATCACTCAAACTGTATGGGTATATCGCTACCCTTCATTTTGTTACAGTATACTTTGTCAAATTCTTCATTCTGTTTTACTGTCAAGAAATTCTTCCAGTCACCAACATGCCCTGAAAAAAAAAAAAAAAAAAAAAAAAAAAAATATATATATATATATATATATATATATATATATATATATATATATATATATATATATATATATATATATATATCAATTCAGCTTAACTTTCAGTATTTACAGCACACTGCAGGTGTGTCACCGGACTAAAATGGGGGAAACTAATTGTTAATCGTGTCGCCTTACATTTGATTCTGACAGACGCATGCGTCAAAGCAGGCACTCGTGTAATTTATATGATTGCGTATTTGATACAAAGCGGGATAAGTGACTCGTACTTTGTGACTCCATATTGTGATATTGAAATAGTTCCGTGATTCATTGGGTATCATTTATGTGTATCATCTGGTGCTTCTTTACATACAACTTACCTTTTCTGAAAAAGTTTCCAGTTTGAAAATTAAAGGCTTTATTGATCGCAGGACCGTCTGTTTCTTTCGTGGATTCAAACGAGGTTCTTTGCAATATGTCTTGCAGGAAGTCGGTGTCCCTTGGTAGATTTGATAAACCAAGAAACTCGATTAATGTCCACGTAGATTCTTCGGGTGCCTGAAAGAAAGAAGTTTCGATACAAATTCCCCAACTCCCTCGCTCTCACTCTTACCAGGTAGTACTTCTTACACACAAATACACACAGACATACAGCACGATAAAGTGAACCTAGGCTGACAGCCTTATAACAAACTACTGCCAGCCATATATAAGTTAATTCTAAACGCCAGTTTTCGGTGTTATATTTACCTTCAACCGGTCCTCGTAACTCATGAACAAAACGTTGGGGTTTTGTCTCTCGTGTGTCCACCAATCTAGCTCCTTGTCAAACCAACTCCCATATGCCACTGTGTATATGAAGCACATTCAACACACAAGATTAAGTGAATATATGAAATGTTATTCCTTTCCAAACTTACCCAGAGAGACAAACCGTAGGCCTAATTTGCTAAATTTTGCATCAAAACACTAAACATATATTATAAAGAGGGCAAAATCAGTAGTTTGAAATGATCTTTCAATATTAAACCTTTCAAAATGAGCAAATAAACAGAGAAACAGATGGATGATAAAAAGCGGTCACACAGACCTATTTGAAACAGTGTATATAATAGATAATAGTGCTAGATACATAGATATATAGATAGATAGATAGCAAACCCCAGCACGCACGTTCTCCATCCATAAATCTCTGTAGAAATTGCTCAAAATCACCCACACAGAAACCTCTGTCTCGTTGATAAAAATACAGCGATACGGCAGTGTCTTTGGGATTCCGAAATGTGTGGATTACTTTATTATTTTTCCATATCTTTACAGGCAGTAGACCTCTTGGGATATGTGTTGTTACTACCATTGATGGTCTAATTGGCATTAACAGTTGCTCTCTTTCCAATTCCTCCAAAAACAGCCAAGAAGATACTGAGTCAAAGTCTGGGATGTCGACGTCTCCGTTATATTTCCGATTCGCATCTACCAAAATACTGACAGTCTTCATCATCCAGTATGTACCTGCATTGTCAGGGGGAAATTTGCGTTCTAAAAGGTTTTTGCTGTTTTTTCGTTTTGAAAAGGTCGTGTCTTCAATTTAGAAAAAGAACCCTAATCAGGTTAACATGGAAGGTATTGACGAACTCCAAAGAAAATAGTACGCTGAGTTCAAAGATAAACCTGCCATCTAGTCTCTTTCACTCACAGTGCAATATGTGAACCGATTAACTACATACCATGTGGCTTTTTCGTCCCAAACATGCCTATAAAACACAGCACAGGCGCTCAGCTTACTTTGTACCCGATTTGATTAACCTTTTATGCACACTAAAATCCCCATATTCATTTATACCATTTGGATGGACTACTTCGGAATCAACGTGGAAAGCATTCGGGCTATAACTCTTTGTTAAACGATCTTAAGTCAATCGACTAGGTCTGTGGCTTTAAATCTTGAACAAACTGACTTCTTTGGTCATGCTATTTCCGAGTTTCCTGAACCTACAATTGTTTCTCAGACGGAAAACCGACACCATCCCTTCGAATCGGAGTCGATGTCTTTTGTGCGTAGCTAAGTACTGTTTTGATGGGTTATCAGCCGAAACATTTACAAAATTAAGAACCCCAAAATTGATCCATAATATTTGACTTCAATATAAAAAACGGATGAATGGATTTATAACAGTGCACGAAATGAAAAGTTACTACAACTTTCTTTTATTTTCGTTTACTTTCCAAGCATATTCAAATTGCTTTTTTATTTATTAAAAAATATTAAACAACCTCATTCAGATAACTCACCGGCCTTTGGGAATGAAGTGACAAATATAACATCATCTGCTACATCCCAATCTCGGATCGTAGGCAATCGGTTTTCAAGTCCCGGAAAGTGTGCTATACGCACGCCGTTCCATATGATATGTTTTCGTGAAGACATCGGGAAAAGCTGGAAAACTACGTTTGATTTCTCAACAAAATAGACACAATTTTTCAAGAGGCCAAGGTTTTCTACTCTGTTGCATTTTTTTATCATTTTAAGCTGAACGTGATTTGAATGAACCTCATGCACTAGTGGCCTGACCTTCATGTATACAGCTTACATACACAATAGGTTACATACAAAATAAATCATATAGGTATATTGACAATACGGGAGATGTTACAGCCAGGCAGCGAGTCAGGGAGACATATAAATGAATTTATTGTCGTTTAACGAGTCAACGTAAATGTGTTAGAGAAGCGAGTAAGGTGAGGAAATGAGTTCATAGGGCGGGGAATTCAAGATGCGCAGATTGAGTATTGCGCATTAGTATAAAAGGAATAGCGAGACGAGTAGTTTTCATTCGAGACTGTTTCAGCCGTCTGCGTCGGACTGGTGAAGTAAATCGCGAATGTGTGAAAAAAGGAGGCAGGAGTCGGATTCGGATAGTGAATTAAGATTCCGTAGACGAACGAGAGAGCAGAGATTTTGTAGAGTTGGTGGTAGACGATAAAGAAGAGGGTAACGAAGAGACATAAATAAGGACAGGTGATGTAAATGAAAACAGTTCAGTCGGTAATATGGCAGACACGTTATCGTTGTTTAAAGCCTATATAGGGGAAAAACAGTTCAAATAGTTGAAAAGAGAACACGCAAAAGAAAGTCAAAGCCAATACAAAAAGTTCAAGACGGTATAGCAAAAATCTTAATTTACGGGAAATCAAAAACAGTAAGAAATAAATACCGAAGTAATTGAAAATATTCAAAAAACAGATATGTTAACTAAGGATGAGCAGGTAAAAGAAGACCGTAAGGTATTGAAAGAAAGCATTGAAATTTTGCAAAAGCGTAATAAACACATAAGAATAGCAAAGAAGTCAAAAGCAAGTTGGAAAGCGGTAAAAGGATTTAAACTGCACGAGTCAATTTTGCATGTGTTTCTGACAGAGGATATTTTCTTTTTCGAAGAGAAAGATGCCCAAAATCAAAACCAGTGAATTACCTACGGGAAATATGGACATTGGAGGGAGTTCTGCACAAACAGATATCAAACCCAGGGTACAGTATCTCCACGTGAAAGAACATACGGACAGACAATTGGGGAAAGAGAAGCTACAGGTATCGGGAGATAACAGAACTAATAGAAGCAAGACGAGCAAATCAAAATTACAAGATAAGTATATGATCGATAATAATTCGAGAGATTCGGATAAGTTGAAGAATTACCAACAAAACATTAATGTTAAAGGGAGACGTAAGAGAAACTACCAGTTCTGGGAAAGCATACAGGCTTATAACTGTGTTTTAGACGTATTCAAAAATGGCTAAATCATTACATTTATTCAGACCGTTAGATTCAGTTATCAAGAATAACAAAGCATCTCTCGAAAACACAGAATATGTCATCAAAGACATTAAAAATTTGTTAAAATTTGTTAGAATTTGAGAAGTGAGAGAAATCCCAAAGGTGGTAAATCCGTTAAGGGTTACTTCTAACGGCAGTACTTGATTTAAGACACGTGAATTCATACATTTGGAAAGAGAAAAGTAAAATTTAAAGATGAGATCGAGGATCTACAATATGTTAAATTGGGAAGGTATAAGTTTGTTTGATTTGAAAGATGGTTATTATCACATATATATATTAGGGAATCACAGTTTTTTACTTTCAACCAATTTTTCTTGATGTATGAACGGTTAGACGAAATACGATATTGATACAATGCTTTATTTTTAGAATTTCTTCAAGCATTAAATTATGGAAATAGTGATAAATTGCTCTGTATGAAACGATTAGATCGAGATCGAATTAAGAAGAAATTGAAATAGTTGGAAAATTATATAGCGAGTTTGAAATGGACACGGAAGAGGGTAAAACGATGTTTGTTTTGATAAAATTAATGAGAGAGAAAGACAATGAGGCAATTGCAAATTATTTTTATTTAAAATATAACAGGTAAAATGCAATGGAGCACGAGTAAATCGAGAAGTGATTTGACGGATTTACAATGGATCATGATATTAATTACATAAGATTTGTATGTATTATAATCATTTATGAAGAAGACATAATGAGATAATGATCAATGTGGTTGATATTCGAATCGAGATGTGATTCGATGCGAACCGAGATGTGGTTCGATACGAACCGAGGTGTGGTTCGGTAAGAAGTGAAATGTGATTTAATGTGAATCAAGATGTGATTCGATACGAATCAAGATGTGGTTCGATATGAATAGAGATATTTGATACGAACCGAGGTGTGGTTCGATAAGAAGTGAAGTGTGATTTGGTGTGAATCAAGATGTGGTTCGATATGAATTGAGATGTAATTCGATATCAATTGAGATGTGATTCGATACGAATCGAGGTGTGATCCGATATGAATCAAGATGTGATTCGATGCAAATCGAGATGTGATTAAATACAAATCAAGATATGGTCGATACGAATTGAGATATGATTCGATATGAATCCAGATGTGATTTGATTAGATGAACGTGGATTTGATATCAGTTTGAAGTTAGAAGGTAGAATTGAGATGAGATCGAGTACGATATAGTCTAAATGTGTTTAGATTTCAAAATTGCAAATAATACAATGATTATATGGAAGACAGAAAAATTTGATTAGACATATGCGAAAAAGGGAAATTGTAAGGTGAATGTGGAATGGTGAAGTTACCATACTGAAATAGATCGAGCTTAGAGATGATGATAAGAGATAAGTAGCATAGAAATTCATAAATGCGAATAGTCATTTTCCATTGCAGATTTTCAAAACGGAGATATGGACAAAGTTGAGAGAGGCACAGGACACATCACTAAAGATTTTGGCTGCAAATTTACCACAGGGGTTGGAACATTTGAGAGCAGAAAATACTGTACGGAAATACTCATATGTATTTCAGAGAACAATGGGCGAGTAATGTTGTAGAAATGAATATTTTTCCAACTAACAAGCATGACATTGCACTTAACATATTTAGTTTTATACAACAGTATTGCAAATCAGGAACGATTCAAGACGTTAAGTACAGTTTAAAACGGGCAGATGAAATATCAGGTATTAATATAAATTTTTGCGACAATATTATGATAAATAATGTTGTTGAAGCGTCAAAGAGAATGTCATGCAAGAAAACAGTAAAAAAGGAAATAGTTACTCCGAAAATATTAGAATCAAATTGTAGTTTAGCAGATTTACGAGATGTTGGTATATTCTTAATATCATTTGCAGGTTTGTTAAGATAAAGTGAAGTATGCAATATAAAGAGATCGGATATTTTAAAATATTTATAGAAATAAGTAAAGACTGGCATTTACAGGGACGGATCTACTGTTTAGGTTGCTAAAACCGGAAAAGCTACATGTTAAAAAGATATTTGGAAGTAGGTAGTATTGACGAAAATTCAGATAATTATATATTTAGAACAGTTACTTATTTAAAGAAATCCAGAAAGCACATTTTACGTAAAAATGGGAAATTGTCGTAAACAAGAATAAGAGCAGTTATTTTAGAGAAGTTAGATATATTAGGTATGGATTAAAAAAAAAATTAGTTTACATAGTGTGCGTTCAGAGGAGCGATAGCTACAGCAAATTTTGGAGTCAAAGATCATTTGTTTAAAAAAGCACGGACGTTGGATTTAAGATGAAGCAAAAGACACATTCAATAGTTTTTCAAAAGGAGTCAAGTATCTCTAAGTGTGGTAAAATTTTAAGATGTAAAATACATTATTTTAATCGGATTCATAATTCGTGATCATTATCAATCTGTTATTACGGTAAGTATTTTTTTCAGGTGGTAAGTATACATGTATATCTTAGAATAAAAGGATTAGCGGTAGTCGTTTTTAAATTAAAATTGAATAAAATTGCCCGTTCTTTGTGGTCGACGCAGACAGGCATGCAACAGCTCATAGCAAGGGTTAACGAAATAAATGATTTAAATTGGAAACGGTGGTTGGTGTTTTCGTTGCGAGTTATTAGACAATGAATGATTTATATGCGATTAAGTGAAACGAATAAGAATATAATACACGCACTCGTCATACTGAAGACGCAAGTTTGAAATCTGCCCCACAATACTTAATGGTTGAAACGCAATTCCACTCAAGAATTATTGCACATTTATTCTACTAAATGAAAATAAAAAGAGGCCTAAACGGAACACAAAAACGGAGGGGTGACAAAAGTATTGCACCATCTTTGTGAATAGTGCTCTATACGGTTTATTGTTCGAGTAACAAGTGATGGATTTTCATCCATGTACACTATAAAGGGTCTCATCGAATGTTTAACGACCTTCTGGCTGTCACGTTTCCATTATGGTGAAGGTACGGGAGTTCACAAATGAAAAAAGGGAAAAGAAATTGTTTCTCTGAAGGAGGAGGGTATAGATGTCAGATATGGTGTCTGATCAGACTGTATGCAGGGTTTACAGAAGGATAGATGGATGGATGGATTGCATTGACGATGCCTATTAAGTACCACCAAAGAATACTATTGCCACTCCCGTTTTACAGCGCGTATTAAGTCATCTCACTTTGTGCTACCAGTAACTACGTTGGTATGCAAATGGTATGATTTGCAAAATTATCATATTTATTAATGTCATTTCTCCTTACGGTAAAATCCTGTTATATATATTCATATTTCTCAAAACCTCTCATTTCTAGAGAAGATATGCCTGCTAGAGAAAAAGTTATCACTCGAACATCATGGATATACATGTATCGCTATTCTTCACTTTGTCAAAGTAAACTTTGTCAAATTCTTCATTCTGTTTTACTGTCAAGACATTCTTCCAGTCACCAACATGACCTGAAATAAAAAAAATAGCTCAAATTCAAAATGTAGCTCAATTATATATGTGTATTGCCGTTATGTTTATTTGTATACTGGTACTTACCTTTTCTGAAAAAGGTTCCAGTTTGAAAATTAAAGGTTTTATTGATCGCAGGACCGTCTGTCTCTTTCGTGATTCCAAACGAGGTTCTTTTCAAAATGTCTTGCAGGAAGTCGGTGTCCCTGGGTATATTTGATAAATCAAGAAACTCGATTATCTTCCATGTAGATTTCTCTGGTACATCCCAGTCTTGGATCGTAGGCAATCGTGCTTCAAGTCCCGGATAGTGTAGTATACGTGCGCCTTTCCATGTGTAATGTCTTCGCGAACACATCGGGGAAAAGCTGAATAACTAAGTTTGATTTCTTTATAAAATGAACACAATCTTTCAAGAGGTCAATACTTGGTGCTTGGTGGCATTTATTTCATTCCAAGCTGTTTGTGATTTGAAAGATCCCCATACCCTAGTGGCCTGTCTATTTATAGCTTACATTAATTGCCATATACACAGGTTAACTGGCCACTCGGGGGGTGTGACAGGCATGACAAAAACTAGTGAGGCGTGTTAAACATACAGTGGTGCTCATAAGTTAAGCAACACTTTTCATATCTCAACGACTAAGCTTTTTATTGAGGCAAAATTATACTAGTCACTGTTGGGCAAAGTAGAATAATGTACGTGCGAATAACCCAATTTGCAAAGCGGGGAGGCCAGTTTGGGCACGTTTTGTAATATCGTTTTGTAATATCGTACAAACAATTGTACAGAAGAAGACTCAACAAGGGAGTCAGATGATAGCAAATTATAGGAAGCCATCGTGCTAGGGTGCCTATGAGACAGAATACATGGCAACACAGAGTAGCACCAAGTCAAGTGTCCAGGCTGGTAGCAAAATGGCGCCAAACTCATCATGTAAGGGAAAGGCCACGGAGTGGTAGACCGAGATTACCCGATGCAAGAGATAGACTTGCCACCAGCAGCGGTTTATGCCGGCCAAACAACTGAGAAACATCTGGCCTGCGGTAGTTCGACAGTCAACAAGCATCTTTTAGAAGCTGGATTACCATCTAGAAGACCCCGTAGAAAACCGCCTTTGAACAACAGAAATAAGGCGATAAGATTGGCATGACCAGATACCGAGAAAGATGGAAACTCAGGACTTAACGAAGGGTCCTGTGGACTATAGAGAGTGGATTGAATTTGCTGTATGCAGATGGTCGGTTAGAGTCCGGAAAGGTCTAAACCAAGTGTTTCATGATGATTGTGTTCTCCCACGTTTTCAGGAGGATCCGTCATGGTCTGGGGCGGTTAATTTCTCATTTGGAGAAAAATTGCCACTTAACGTCATGTTAAGGAGGTCTGGTCAAAAATGCATAGACGAAATCTTGTTAGTGCGCACACAACCACACATTCAGGCAAATCCAGGAAGAAACATCATTTTGATGCAGGATAAGGAGCCCATCCATTAAGTACAGGTCGTGCAAGACGTGCTGCAACAGCATGGTATCTCCAATATTAATTGGCCTGCATGTTCGCCAGATCTCAATGTAATAGATCCTGCTTGAGGTATGATGGGCAGAGCAGTAAATCAACCGCCAAGGGGAAACATTAGAGAGCTCCAGTGGGTAGTAATTGATCAGAAATGGAACCGGCTCCCAATGCAAGATTTACAAGAATTCAGTGGCAAGTTGCAGGAGATGATGTGAAGATGTTGTTCAAAACCAGGAACGATAGCCCCGTTATTGCTTGCATAATAGACTATAAATTATCTGTTATCTATAGTCTTTTTTATTAGAACTTATTCTAAGACCGCATTCACAACGAGTTGAGCCAGGCTTTGGTTGTGTGTGTTTACAAATCCTGGGGACTAAATATGGCGGACGTACATGAAAGAAAAACCGCCTAGTCTTTTTATAGTCTCTCCGCCTCCCCATGTGTCATCCCAATGGAGCCGAGATTTAATGACTGTCCCCCCACAGGGACGACGTGTGGGGAGGCGTGTGAGAGGCGGAGAGACTATTAACAGATTAGGCGGTTTTTCTTTCATGTACGTCCGCCATATTTAGTCCCCAGGATTTGTAAAGCCTGGCTCAACTCGTTGTGAATGCGATCTAAGACGATTCAATTTAACTTATTTATGATAAGCTGTTTTAATCAGCACGCACTTTTCTCTATGTGATCATACTTTTACCACATGGTTTGGCACATTTTTTTAAAACAGTAAATTTGTTTATTATCTTAAGCTTTTTGTGTATTAAATTAACAGAAATATTCAACTTAAATGAGATGTTTATAAAATATGAAAGAAATAGGCATAATCCTACTAGCAATTTAAATAATGACCATGACAGAATAATCTTTTATGAAAAAAACGGGGTGTTGCCCAATTTATGAGCATCGGTGTAAGCCACTCGACACGCTGAAGGCGCAAGATGCATCGAGAAGTTCCTTAGTAACCCATTGTCATAAATTAATGTCCTTAATGTTTTTGACCAGGTTTGCTTAAGAATAAAGTATTGTTTCTGAAAAGGGATCCTTCACATTCGGTAGTTTTATTTCAAATGTTTACTTTATTTAATGCAACAAGTGATTGATTTTAGACAACTTTCATTGTAAATAATTTTTTATGATCATGATATGATAAAGTAACAAATGCCAAACAGGCTGGATTTTATTGTGGGTTAAATTATAAACGAAGAAAATTCTTTTTTTTTTTTTAAGTTGACAATTAATTTTAAAAAAATGAAAATCACTAAAACATCACAGCCAAGTCGGTCTCCTTCATTTTTTCAAAGAATTTTTTGTCGAAATCTTCGTTCTGCTTTACTGTGAAGTAGTTCTTCCAGTCTCCAACTTGCCCTAAATATCAAAAACAACCTATTATTGGTTATTTGGGATCCAAAACTGACACGTATGAAACGCTTTTTAACAATGCAGAAAAGTACGGCTGCTTTATAATGAATTGCTCTTAAGGAGACATAGTTATGAATATAATGGGGTTTCAACTTGAACAATTGAACATTGCTTTTAGCTTGCCATCGTCCATTATTAAATATTCAAATTCACTCACCAACTGGAAAATATTGAAAATTATAATTTTGAACAACGGGAAAGCACAATAAATGACAGCGCCTTTATCAAGTTAATATAAAAAAGGGGGGCTATAAGTCAATGATTTGAGTCATCTAGTAGAATTACAATGTGAAATATGTATAACTCTGATATAAGAGGTTACGTTAGGGGTTGAGGCCGTCGTTGTGGTCTCAACCTGAGACATTTCACCTGGATAACTGATCACCTGATCTATACCACAAGCATTAGCATAAGTGGGCACCTTAACCACCCAAGTGTACCGTAAACCAACACATACTAACAACAATTTACAGTTTGACTCCCACCACCCTCATATACAAACTAGGAGTAAAAGAAACTATACAACACAGAGTAGAGCTGACACAGTATTTAGCAATCAAGATCTTGTCCCTAATGAACATACTCAGGGGCGGATTTAGGCCGTCTTCTGCGTCTTCAGGAAGAAGGTAAGATTTTCAAGTTGACATTGACGGGTCCTAATTTTTTCTGACGGAAGACGGTCAAAAATTGAGGATGGATCAACAAAGATAATTTTGGAGACTCTCAGAAAATATCTCTGGATCCGCCCCTGACACTAACATGAAGAAGCCATTAGAAAATTGTGGGTATCCTGACTAGGCAACTGTAATAGCCAACAAAAAGAAGGATTCAGAAAGTCCAACTACCTACTGGGGATTAGTATAATGTAAGAATAACTATTCCATACATAGGTAGACTATATGATATACTCATTCAGATTTCTCACCAGCTTTTGGAAATAAGTGAAAAGGTGACAAATATAACATCATTTTGTACATCCCAGTCTTACATACATTTTTTAAGCATTTGGGATCTCTACATCATTCAAACCCGCTCAGAGGAAAAGTTATTAACGTAGAGGACAAATTCTGAAAAGGATCAAGTCCAATGTCGTGTATAGTGCTGCATGTGTCGCTATGGACTGCTTTGTATTTCACTTGGCCCTCCTGGGATTCCATAGCTCTGAAACATACATTGGAGAAACAAAAAAGCTTTAAAACTGCGAGTAAAGAAACATAAAGGGCCCATTACCAGAGACATTGGTCACATTATAGATGAGAAGGACTTCGAATTCAACATTCTGGACCAGGGAGAAAAGTGCAGGGAACGTGGCGTCACAGAAGCTATCTGCGAGCGGGTGGAAAACCCAACAAGTTCACTCAGCAAGAAAAAGAGGCCTCAGGTTCAGCCTCTAGCACATACCGTATAACAATAGATCATGTGACTAGTTTATCCAGGTCATTACCTAGAGAAAGGACTCAGGTTGAGATTGCAACGTCGATCAGTTGTTACTGTAAGTTCAAGTTTAAGAGTTATACATATTTCTCATAAAGGGACTATATCAGTCAAAGAGCTTGCATTGAAGAGTGTTTTATTTGACCAATGACAATTTTCCACGGGGAACAGTTTCAGGCATCAGTAGGCCTATATGTAATTGTGTTGAGGGAGAGTGTGCGCTTTGTACTGCCAGAATATGAAACAAGTGACATGTATAAACACTGTCGGTGGTCGGTGTAATTTTGCCAAATGTATCAATTAAGATCATTTATATTTAACAACTAGTAATCCAAATGCTCACCTTTTCTGCAAAATGTACCTGTTTGCATTGCTAAACCTTTAGTGAGCGTTTGACCGTCTTCGTTTTTCATGCTTTCAAACGAAGTTCTTTTTACAACATTTTGCAGGAAGTTGTCATCCATGGGTAGATTTTCTAAATCTAGAAATCTGATTACTTTCCTCACAGATTCCTCGGGTGCCTAAAAAAACGGAAGTTGAAAAATTTCTCTCTTGCTCGCTCGCTTTCTCTCTCCTTTCCTAATTTTCTTTTTCTTATAATTCTTTTAAAACACACACACACACACACACACACACACACACACACACACACCAATCGACACACCATTATGCACATGGTTGTCCAAAACTCTAAACAAGGTAATTTTAATTTTGTTCTAGTACATTTCTTCCCGAAAAACTCAATGCATGTATAATGTATAACATACAGTGTATGTTTAAATTCGATACACATATTTTTGGAAACATTGGTTTACAAGTGACATCCCCAGCCATAATATGATTGAAATATTCACCTTGATGCGTTCCTCGTAACTCATGAACAAAACGTTTGGGTTTTGTCTCTCGTGTGTCCACCAGTCTAGCTCTTTGTCAAACCAACTGCCATATGCCCCTGTAGATGTAAGTTCTTTTAATAGGAAACTCACAAAGGGCTTTTAAATAAGCTTCCAAGGGAGAAGAGAAACATTTTACAAATTGAAAAAAAAACAGGCTTTCGTACGAAAAATTTTTTAGACAAATCATTTGCGGGCGTGAATGTATGAAGGTTTGTGTGTTGTTAGAGTTTCATATATGGTCAAATTGTCAATCTGTCTGGGCAAATGTCAAACTGGATACCACTGACCATAAATGTATGCATTTATTTTCTTTCGTTGTCCCATTGCACCGTCGAAGGTCCAATCGAAGTTAATTGGGAATTTGCCTAGATTAGGTGCCAACTTCAGTGGCGGATTTAACAAAAATTTTCGGGGGCCTTCAGGAAGGAGGGGGAGGAGGGTCGGCTTCGCATCTNATGTTAAGCATGAATTTACCTGCGTGACACATCGAACCAATCACTGTGTTCGTTATAATGGACTCTACCACATGAGGTGCATTATAATAATAATATTTTGGTTAAATAATAAATCGTGTCTTAACTATTTATTGGGAATACACCTAATAACCTTTTATATTTTACAAGTTTTATGTATAATGTCTGTATCAAAAGAAATAAAAAAAATCTATACAAAAAAAAAAACTTTAAAAAACTGCACAACCTGCTCCCCTCCTGTGACCAGTTATATAAATGATGAGAGCAGCCTGCCATCAAAACAGAATCAAGGACATTACTCGAAAACAAGTATTGAAGATTGTTGACTGGGATACAAAGCCAAAATGCCTGATAGGAAGAAAACTCACTTGTCTCAGTTGGATGATGAAAAATCGGGTGTATCTCTGACGAATAGTGTGAGTAGAATTGAATATTGATAAAACATATTGTAAAGTAGTGAGAAAATGTGGAATTCTGAGGGCTACAGTGCATGACGCATAATGTTACACTCTTTCTCTTGGTGATGGAAAATTCCGCCGGCGAAATACAAAGATGTTAACTTTTTCAGGTTAAAGCGTTTGTCAGATAGCATTGAGATAGCATTTTATTTCATAGTTACTTGAAATTGGAGTATTTTGGGGAATGAGCTTGACCCATGACGTCATGGAAAAATACAGCGTTCCACGTCATTAAGAAACTAAGATATGTGGAGTCGTTGTCTTTCATTTACAAAAAGATTATAGTTACTTGGTCCAAAGAAGCACACACTTGGGTCTTTTTTAATCTAATCTAAAAATATTTTTTAATGTTAAGCCGGCGACAAGGAACTTATTTAGGTATAGCAAACAGCATCCCCAGAAATGCATGGCGCCACGCCTAGCCCACTGCGCATGCGTGCATTTTTAATAAGTTGCTAGATTGCCATAGGAAAAAGAATGGGTTCGCGATTCGTGGGCCCATGGCGGATAATTGACAAACTAACGGTCTGATGCCGATAGACAGCAACGCTGTGCTATGCTTCAAGCAACTCCTGACCAAATATCGCTAGGGTTTTTAAAAAAATTCTGTTGTACACACGTACTAAGAAGCTTGCCGTGCATTGCCTAGCCTACCCTCAGCAAAACGCAAATATTGTCAGAAATAGTGATTTTAGACGGTAGATTCACTCAGAAACAAAGGCAAACTAATTCGTTGCCGATAGCACCAGCAAATAGCAGCACCATACAGAGTCTGATTAAAAACTTACATGGCAATTGAAGAACTTTTACCACCGTACAATGGGCACAGTGGCACTTGGCACAAATGTAAAACTACCCAGTGCAAGGCCAAGAATTCAATCAGTATTTTCAATCATGTTATCAGATTCTACATAAATTGACCGACAATATCACTATTTAACTAATCTCTTAATCCAAAATGCCTATCACCATTTAGTATTTATGCAAAATTCGTCTTTCAGATTGCTATTTTTGTAATTTTTAATGCTGCAACTGTTCCAAAATAATCTTGTAGTAAAGGAAAAATGCAAATACGAAGTGGAAGACCAATTTTACCCAAATTATTCATTTATTTGAATATAAAAAATCACGATTTAACAACTTAAAATAATCTTTCATGAACTCTTACATGAATAACATATTAAACAAAAATAAAAGTTATATATAAGTGGTAATGGCTTATTCTGGAATATATGACCTCTGCGCATCATCAGTACCTNTCAGAAACAAAGGCAAACTAATTCGTTGCCGATAGCACCAGCAAATAGCAGCACCATACAGAGTCTGATTAAAAACTTACATGGCAATTGAAGAACTTTTACCACCGTACAATGGGCACAGTGGCACTTGGCACAAATGTAAAACTACCCAGTGCAAGGCCAAGAATTCAATCAGTATTTTCAATCATGTTATCAGATTCTACATAAATTGACCGACAATATCACTATTTAACTAATCTCTTAATCCAAAATGCCTATCACCATTTAGTATTTATGCAAAATTCGTCTTTCAGATTGCTATTTTTGTAATTTTTAATGCTGCAACTGTTCCAAAATAATCTTGTAGTAAAGGAAAAATGCAAATACGAAGTGGAAGACCAATTTTACCCAAATTATTCATTTATTTGAATATAAAAAATCACGATTTAACAACTTAAAATAATCTTTCATGAACTCTTACATGAATAACATATTAAACAAAAATAAAAGTTATATATAAGTGGTAATGGCTTATTCTGGAATATATGACCTCTGCGCATCATCAGTACCTGACTTGGTACAGTATAGTTACTACTTGGATACAGAGTTAGATTTAATAATGTAACAATAAGAACAATATACATTACAATAAACTAATCTGCACATGTCAGACGCTTGTAACCATGAACTAACACTACTTGACAATGGGCTGCCCAAAAGCTACCTAATAAAACAAATGCGTGAAGAGATTAATGTGATTTGTCATGTGCAACGTACTCCAGGACCACATGATGGGGCTGAGATAGATGTTGAATCTGAGCTTATTTTTGCCATCAAATCCTATTTGGCTGACAACCCTGATATTGAATGTGGTAGTAGGCTAAATAGTTTCAAGGTTAAATTCTATGGTGATGGAACCACTATATCTAGAAATTCTAACATGTGTGTTATGAGCTTTTCAGTATTTTCACCTCGGCACCCTACCATCAGTCCAAGTAGTCAATTTTGGCTCCTCGAGCACTTATCACCCCAGCAGACAAACGACATTGATTCACCGTTGAATCAACGTTAATTTTGGTGGATCAACGTTGAATCAACATAGAATCAATGTCGTTTGCCTGCTGGGACAGAGTCTGCGTGCGATGCCATTGTTGTGCTGTGATTGGCTAGTTGCGCCCTCGCGTATCGCGTGAATGCTGCGCATTTCTGGCCATGGAGGCCTCCCGTCAATTACCATAATTACAGTATATTATGCATTATATAATCCATGCACTTGCCCTTTTTTCTGTAACCCAAAAATGAACTGAATTCTGGTCATAAAGTTCCCCTGTCCTGAGCTTCGTCTTCTTAAGATGACCGTTGAGCAGATCTCATTTTTAATAAGTCCAATTTCCTTACTATTTTTAACGACAAAGTACATATTTACATAGATAATCTGATGGGATGGAAAAACAGTGGATACCTATATTTGCATAACAATTGATACCTATCTTTTTTATTCCTAGCTGCTCCCAGAGCAAAAAATGCCCAACGGGGGATAAATTCACTGATATGTAACACCCTGTGACTAAAATTAGCACATTTGAAATAATGGGGGTAGGGGAAGAAAATTATCTACGGTTTGCAATTTAAATTAGATATAACAATGGTTTAAATATTATTATGTAGCTGAAGGACTGCTGTAAACACACAAGTAAAGAATATGTAATACCAAGCCACGTGTAAGTAAAATGGGTCAAAGGTCAAATGAGGTCAAATTTGAGAAATTTTAAGAAAAATAAAGAAATAAAGTTTGAGAATATCAGCCAACAACATACTTCTAGGGTATATTTTGTAAATCCCATCTATATTACAAATGTTTAATGGTCATTTGTTACTTAATTTTACAGTTTGTGAGAAATATGCTAGATATAATTAGCATATAGAAGTATCAATTCACTGATACAAGTACTTAATTTCAATTGCCAAAAACGATATATAGTTCATATTGGGAAATTTAGACAAGATTTAACTATAATACATATGCCATTGTGTACCTGAATGTTTGCTTTAAACAAGTAACTACAAGTACTAAATGTAAAATAGAATCTGTATTTCAAGGGCGAAATGGGATTTTGGAAGTTTTTCTTTACAGAAGGTGAGGTTAATGCCTGTTCAAAGTGTATTGCAGAAGGGTCTAGATCAGTTGCCGAAGAAATGGTAGTATGGAAATATAGTCGTTCATAATAGGAGCAGAAATAAGATAAATGTGTGAATATATATATTATTGTATAACTCAGGGGGTATTCTTAACATGTAAGTAATAAGTGTAATGCAAACTTCAATCATGTCTTAATAAAATGCAGTCAAATGTCAAATGAGGTCAAATTTTAGTAATTTTCAGGGGAATTTAATTTGCAGTTTGTGAAATTTAAAATGCAATACAGCAGAGAGGTTCAGCATTATTGTCAAAAAATGGGGCTAGGGAAATTAAACTGTTCATAGTAGGGAATGTAAGTAAGATGTACGGTAGCTATGATTTATATATCATTATGTAGCTGAAGGGTTGTTCAAAATACACCAGAAATCAATGTTATTTAAAATCGAGACATGATTAGCTTTCATGGGGTCCAAGATCAAATGAGGTAAATTTGTAGGCATTTTAAGGAATGTAAAACAATAAAATTTATATTATTTACACTCGACTGGAACCTATAATATGTTTTGTAGACACATGTTTGTTAAAGTCCATCCCTATAACAAGAATTTAAAGAAGGACAGAAGTACATACGTTTTTTTATGTTGTCCGACTGAGAAATTTTTTAATATTCGAGTCCCGGGAATCCCGTTTCCGATCGATAGCCTGATGCGATGTATTGACGATAATGCAAAACAACTTACCTGAACGCGACTGCATTACACTCGCTGAAACGAAAATGAGGTAACGTATTTGGTTTACTCGTTTCACCGCCATGCTGCTGAATAGTTTGGAAGCTTGAAGCGGGTTGTATTTCTCATCATTCTAACTGAAACTAGTAGTTGAAGAGAGGCAAAGGACGTTATTGTGTGGCGCATGGAGGCAACAGTACTAGTAGCTCTATTGACGAAATTGAGAAGACAATGGATCAATTTTGTTCGCGTGCTACGTTAAGTTTTTGATCTGCCGTCGCAGACGATGCGGATATATGAGAAACAATTTGAGGCTACGCTCTACCTGATATAATAACGACTATTGAAAAATATTGAAGAAGAAGAAGAAATGTAAAATTTTGCTAACAGAGATAGTTCCAACCACTCGCCTGCATACCAAGATATGCATCATACAGAGGCACAAGGTAT